TGATTCCCAGTCATGGCACATACCCAGGTTTTGGGTTCCATCCCTGTTTGGAGCACATACCGAAAACAACCCATCGATGTTTCCTCTCACATCAATGTATCAATGTCTCTCTCTCTCTCTCTCTCTCTCTCTCTCTCTCTCTCTCTCTCCCCTCCCTCTCTCTCTCTGTATGTCCTTGGGTGAGGATTTAAAAAAAATTGCCCTGACTGGTGTTTCTAAGTCAGTGGTTCTCAACCTTCCTAATGCCACGACCCTTTAATACAGTTCCTCTTGTTATGGTGACCCCCAACCATAAAATTATTTTTGTTGCTACTTCATAACTGTAATTTTGCTACTGTTATGAATCGTAATGTAAATATCTGATATGCAGGATGTATTTTCATTGTTTGCGACCCACAGGTTGAGAACCGCTGTTCTAAGTGGTTAGAGCATCAGCCTGTACACCAGAATCTCGGGTTTGATTCTGGTCAAGGGCACGTACCTGGGTTGAGGGCTTACTCCCCGCCCCTGGTTGGGGCACTTTCAGGAGGCAACCAGTTGATGTGGATGTGTCTCACCTCTCTCTCTCTCTCTCTCTCTCTCTCTCTCTCTCTCTCTCTCTCTCCGCCCCCCCTTTCCTTTCCTCTGGTTCACTCTCTCTGAAAATCAATGAGAAAAATATCATCCAGTGAGGATTAACAACAACAACAACAAAGAATAAAAAAAGAGAGAATTGGCCAACAATTCTTTTGCACATGGACACCCAGCAGTCCCAGAACCATTTGTTAAAGAGATTATTCTTTCTTCATTGAATGTATTGGAACCCTTATGAAAATCAATTTACTGTAAATTTTAGAGTATATTTCTTCACTTTCAGTTCTCTTTCATTGATCTATATGTCTACCTTTATATCAGTGCCACACTGTCTTGGTTACTGTAGCTCTACAGTAAGTTTTGAAGATGGCAAATGTGAGTACTTCAACTTTGTTCTTCTTTTTCAAGATTGTTTTGGATATTTTGATCTCCTTGATTTTCCATATTAATTTTAGGGTCAACTTATCAATTTCTGCAAAGAAGCTAGCTAAGATTTTTTAGGAATTGTCTTGAATCTATAAATCAAGTTGGGTTGTATGCTATTTTATGCTATATACTTTCTCCACTTTTTGCCTTTCAACATTTTTTGCTCCATTGTGTTTTTAATATTTCTCAACAAACAACTTAACTGACAATCTTTGTTCATTTTAGCTACTTAATATTTGGGTTAAATCTACCACCTTATTTTTGTGTTATGTTCCTCTTTCCCATGTTCCTTTTCCTTCTTTCTCACCTTTTCTTATCCCACAGTTTATTTCTTTCCCAATTTCAAGCTTTTACCCTGTAATTTTACTTTTAAATGGTCATCCCTCAAATTGCAATATGAAATCTTACAAAAATTTTAAACTAATCAATACTCTTTATAAGAAACTTAAAATGCTAGACTAATTTACTGCTCCCTCTCAATGTGTGTTAATGTTGTATTTCAATTCTATATATTTATATACTTCAACCCTCTAAGACTTACTTACTTTTATACAGTTAATATTTATTTAGGTTTATCCATTTATTTTTCACATGCTTTGCTCTTCTCTCCTATCTGCATCTCTGATATCTGAGATGACTTTTATTCTACCTTTGGGATGTCCTTTATTGAAGTTCTACTGGTGGCATGTTCTCTATATTTCACTCTCTTCCTTGAAATATGCTTTTGCAAGCTATACAATTATAAGTTGGTAGTTGTTTTCTGTTCGCACATTAAAGCTATCATTCAATTGTCTATTGGCTCCAATGTTGCTGTTGGGAATTAGCTGTCAGCAATCTAGTGTTTTTCCTTTCTTTGAAAGTAATCTGTCTTTTCTCTTTGGCTGCTCTACTGTGGTGTCTCTTCTCAGTTCTAAAAGCTCTCAACTATTCCTTTTGTCTCCTTTCCTTCTAGAACTCTAATTTATACCTGAGTCGATAACTCTAAATTCCAAGTTTCTTTCTTGTTTGCTGTCTTTTATCTTTTAAAAACATTTTTTATTGATTTCAGAGAAAGAGGAAGGGAGAGGGAGAGAGAGATAGAAACATCAATGTGAGAAAAATACCAACATCAATTGGCTCCCTTCTGCAAGTCCCCTGCTTTGGATCGAGCATGAAACCTGGGCATGTGCCCTGACCCAGAGTGGATCCAGCAGTCTCCTGGTACATGGGTCAATGCTCAACCACCGAGCCACACTGGCTGGGATCTTTTATTTTTCTTCAGAAAAAAACTTGATTATAACATGTACTAGATGTTATATTATACAACCTGATTTGAAACTTACCGAACAATAGCAAACCTGGCTAGAAAATCATTTTATACCCTCTTCCATATACAGCAGTCCTCCCTTATCCACGTTTCACTTTTGCTGTTTCAGTTACCCATGGTTAACTGTGGTCCTAAAATATTAAATGGGAAATTCCAGAAATAAATGATTCATACATTTAAAATTGCCTGCCGTTTTGAATAGTATGATGAAGTCCCTCACCATTCTGCCCCATCCTACCTGGGATATCAATCCTCCCTTTGTCCAGCTTATCCATGGTGTATATGCTATCCACCCATTAGTCACTTAGTAGCTGTCTTGCTTATCAGATCGACTGTCATGCTATCACAGTGTTTGTGTTCAAGTAACACTTACTTTACTTAATAATAGCCCCAAAGTGCAAAAGTAAATGAGGCAATTCAAATATACCAAAGAAATGCCATAAATTGCCATCTTTAAATGAAAAATTGAAAGTTCTCAACTTAATGAGAAAAAAATCTTGCTGAGGTTGCTAAGATCTATGGTAAGAACAGAACTTCTATCTGTGAAATTGCATAATTTATAAATTAAACTTTATTATAGGTATGTATGTATAGGAAAAAACAGTATAAATAGGATTCAGTACTATCTGTGTTGTCAGGCACTTACTGAGGGTCTTGGAACTTGTGCTCCAGGGATAAGGGAGACTACTATATTCTATCTCTTTGCCTCTCTGTGCTTATTTTTTTTAGGAATTTCTACTTTATATTTTTAAATAATTTATTTTTAAATTGAGATATTATTGACATATAACATTATATTAGTTTCAGGTGTACAACATAATGGTTTTATATCTGTATATAGTGTATATAGTGTAAAATGATCACCACCATAAGTTTAGTTATCATCTATCATTACCACAGTTATAGATTTTTTCTTATAATAACTTTTAAGACCTATTCTTTTATGAATAACTTCTTCTAAAATGTCTTCCAGCCCTAGCCGGTTTGGCTCAGTGGGTAGAGTGTCGGCCTGCAGACTGAAGGGTCCTGGGTTCGATTCTGGTCAAGGGCATGTACCTTGGTTGTGGGCACATCCCCAGTAGGAGGTGTGCAGGAGGCAGCTGATTGATGTTTCTCTCTCATTGATGTTTCTGACTCTGTCCTTCTCCCTTCCTCTCTGTAGAAAATCAATAAAATATATTTTAAAAAAATAAAAGTAAAATGTCTTCCAATTCACTAATTCTCCAATTAATTGTGTTTAATTTGCTGTTAATCTCTTCAATTGATTAAGTTCTTAATTTCAATCATGATTTTTTTTTTACTTCTGGAAGATCATTGAATAAATTTTCAAATATGGTAATTATGGTAATTTTAAAGAATTTTTTATTCTCCACACACATATTTATTTCTTTAAACATAGTAAGCATAGTTCTACATATCCTCTGTTTAATCATCCCAGTATCTAAATTACTTCAGGATGTGGCTCTGTCATCTTACTTTTGTCAGTTCTCACTTGTGGTGGTAATTCAATTGCTTGTTTGATTATTAACTCTTTTGTGTGAGCTGCTCACTTTCCTTATAAAATAATTTGAATAAATTAATTGAGATCTAGGACAAAGGTGAATTTCTTCAGAAAGGATCTGTGTTTGCATTGCTTTTGCCAAGTGTTTGGGAACATTCCCTTAATAGACCAGCTCAGGATCACTTAAAGTTTTTTTTATCCTCATCCAAGGATATGTTATTTTGTTGTTGTTAGTTTGTTTTAAATTCTCACCTGAGGGTTTGTATACAGGGAGAGGGAGAGGGAGAGGGAGAGGGAGAGGGAGAGGGAGAGGGAGAGGGAGAGGGAGAAGGAGAGGGAGAAGGAGAGGGAGTGGGAGACCAAGGGAGGGAGGGAGAGAGGGAGGGAGGGAGGGAGGGAGAGAGAGAGATCGGTTGCCTCCCATACTCCCTCTGACCAGGGATAGAACACAAAACCTATGTGTGTGTCCTGACTAGGAATCAAATTTGCAACCTTTTGGTATAATGGACAACGCTCCAACCAACTGAGCCACCTGGCCAGGGCTCACTTTAAATTTATGACTAGAGATTTCTTAAATAACTCAGGCAGTGGGAATTGGGACTGCATGGTGACAAACTGTAGGCCAAATTTTTCCTCCCTGTTCTGCTTAGCACCACAAAGGAAATGCTCCTTTGTAGTTCCTGGGGAAAGTTGGTGCAAAAACAAGTTAATTTCTCCTTCACTGAGGGTTTATTCATTTTGGACACCAATTAAATGGGGAAAAGACTGCTATTAGACTTTCCACTCTTAATTGGCTGCAGGACTTGTGACTTGTTTTGGGTGGCTTTTGCAAAGTTGAAATCCTCAAATTCCCCCAATTCTACAATGGTTTTCAGGACAAAGCTGATGTCATTACTTTGCTTCTTTTTTTTTTATCACAGTCTCTTAGGATTTATCTTGATAATTCCTTACAAATCTTCGAGGCTTTTATCTTTTCAAATATTTTAATTGATTTTTAGAGGGAGAGGAAGTGAGTGGGAGAGAGAGAGAGAGAGAAATATCAATGTGAGAGCAGAAATCATTTGGCTGACTGCTGCACGCCTCCCATTGGGGATTGAGCCCGCAATTCTGACATGTGCCCTGACTGGGAATTGAACCAGCAACCTTTTGGTGTATGGGAGGATGCCCAACAGACAAAACCACACTGGCCACAGCAAAAATATGGAATGCTTCACAACCTTGTGTTTCATCCTTGTGCAGGGACCATGCTAATCTTCTCTGTATCTTTCCAATTTTACTATATGTGCTGCCAAAGCGAGCACTCTTCGAGGCTTTTAAATAGATGTTTTCTTATCTGTTAACCATTACTTTTTGTGTTCAGCAGTAATGACATTCCAGAAACAGAAAACCAATACTCCCTCTTTGGTCTACTTCAATATAGCTTCTGGATCCACTAAAACTCCTTTACAAAGGTCAGAAAAGATCGCTAAGTTGCCATGTTGATTAGACATACTTTTCATTCCTATCTAATTCAACCTCTTGGCAGTTTCTGACACACCTGATTATTCCTTTTCTCTTGGAACCAGTTTCTGGCTTTTACAACACCTCACTTTTCTATACAACTCTTCAATGACCATTCCTCAGGGCTCAGATCTGGGTCTTCTGACTTCTACATTTCTTCTGCCCCCACTCTGCCTTAAACTTACTAACATCTCTTTCTTACATTACTTTAATAGCTTCCTCTGCCGACTCTTCTCTCCAACCAATCCATTCTCCCCACAGCAGCAAGAGTAATTTTTTAAAAATGAAAATTAGATCATGTCATTTTGCCTGGGTCAAACCCTTTAAAGTACTGCATTTGAACCTTAGATAAATTGCAAGCTATTTAACACTGCCCATAAAACAGTATGATCTGAATCCTGCTTATATATCCATAATTGTCCTCTTATATAATACTACAGACAAATTGACCTTTTTTAAGTTACTCAACATGTTCTTCTTTCCCACCTTAGATCCTTGACATGCCTTTTCTTCTTCCTGGAATATTATTTCTGTGCTTTTTGCATGGTTTACTTCTACTCATATTTCATATCTCACTTTAACTGTTACTTTCTGAGACTTTCTCTGACCAACTAATCCAGTGGCATCCTGTACTTTTCCTTTAGAAAATGTGTCATAATTTGTGATTAAATGTTTATTAAAAATTTATTTACTTAACTTCTTTCCCCACAATTATCTTTACCAGTAAATGCCAGGAACATGGAAGCCCTATTTTCCCAGTATACACCCAGGACTTAGCATAGTGTTTGACACATAGTAGGAGTCCAAAAAGCATATGCTAAATCATTGATTTTTTATCTCTTTAAGGAAACCTACATGAAATTACAATTATAATTAGAAATTACATGTTGATTACAGACTCAGAACCAAGGGGTATGAGTTATATGACAATAATACTCATAGAGATCAGGCTAAAATTAAGACATATCTGAGAATAGACCCATAACGCTTAAATCCTTATAGCCTAGAGTACTTTCCCCTGATTAATATTTAATGAGTAAAACCAGCACCTTCCTCAATAACTTAATACATGGCTTTTTATTATTGTTATTTATACTTTAGTTAAAGCAAGTAAATAATCATCTACAAGTAGCATGTTTCTCATGCTGACTTGCAAATTCATTATTTGGAACTCTGAAAAAATTTTCCACACATCCAACATTATGCACAGTGGTTAGGTTCCTTTGGTTAGTCCATAATGCTTAATTTATTATTCATTCATCCATTTAAAAATATTAATTGAACATCACTTTGTGCCAGGATCTGTTCTAGCACTGAGGATACAATAATAAAATAGAAAAAAAATCTTGATTGTGGTGATGATTTTATGAGTTTATACATGTGGCAATAATTATTAGATAATACAGTTTTAATATGTACAGTTCATTTTATGTTACTTATGCCTCAATAAAGCTGTTTAAAAAGTGGTTTTAAAAATTATAACTAGAATCTATTTTGTTTGTCAGTTTATTTTGTTTGTTAGAGTCCACATATAAGTGAGACATGGAAGCATGCAACAGACTGAGGATCCTCAGAGGGAAGGGGAGGAAGGGAAGAGATTAACTTATCAATATAGTTAATATGGACACAGACAATAGTGGGGTGAAGGCCTGGGGAGAGGACAGAAGTGGGAAGGAGGGGGCCAATCGGGGGGGGGAGGGGACATCTGTAATACTTTTAACAATAAAGATAAATTTTTAAAAATGTTGTAACTAGTAGATGAATAAGTTCTGTAGAGCTAATGTACAGAATAGTGATTATAGTCAACAATACTGTGTTATATACTTCAAAGTTGCTAAGAGACTAGATCTTACGTGTTCAAACCACAAAAAGAAATGGTAATTATGTGACATGATGCAGGTGTTAGCTAACACTACAGTGGCAATCATTTTGAAATATATGAATGTATCAAATCAGTATGTTGTATGCCTTAACTTACACAATGTTATATGCCTTATCTCTCAAAAAAATAAAATAAAGCAAAGGGAAAAAAAGTATTCTAGAGAGAATTAAGGGAGATGGTAGGATAAGATAGTATTAAAATTTCTAGGGAGGAGAGTATGTAAGTTTTGGAAACAAAACTTTGTTGCATTGTTATGATTTGTTTGCAGTTGTAAGAATTCATTTTTTAAATATGTTTTATTGATTTGAGAGGGAGGAAGGGAGAGGGAGAGATAGAAACATCAATGAATAGAGAGAATCATCGATCTGCTGCCCCCTGCATGCCCTCTACTGGGGATCTAACCGGAAACCCAGGCATGTGCCCTGACTGGAATTGAACCAATGGCCTCTGGGTGCATGGGTCCATGCTCAACCACTGAGCACATTGGCCGGGCCACAATAAATTATTTTTAAATCTCAGATTGCACTTAAGGAGGACATGTTATCAAAAGAGGCACAGGTTTTGCCCTCTCTCTCTCCCTCTCTGTCTAAAAATCAATAAAAAGCAAAACAAAACAAAAATAAACAAAAACATTCTCTGCTTGTATATTGTAGAAAATTTTGGAATGAATTCCTTTTTTTGATCCTCAGGGAGAGGGAGAGATAGAAACATCAATGATGAGAGAGAATCATTGATTGGCTGCCTCCTGCACGCCCCACAATGGGGATCCAGCTGCAACCCAGGCATGTGCCCTGACCAGGAATCGAATCCAGAACCTTTCAGTCTGCAGGCCGACGGTCTATCTACTGAGCCACACCAGCCAGGCTTAATATGCACTGTGAGTGAGGTTGAGCATTTTCTTATGTTTTACTGGATAATTGTATTTTTTTAAAGAAGCACTTGGCTAAAGAGAGTTGAAAATGAATGGATATATATATATATATATATATATATATATATCACTTTGGCGGAACACAGCTGTTACAGTAAATAAAATATACTTCCATGTTACTTGCACTTTAAAAAAATAAAATTTTTCTATTGCTAATATCAATGTGAAAAGTACAGGGACAAGAACAATAGAAATACAGTGTTCTGGCATTTAAAAAAATCGACCAATGATCTGTAATGTGCCATGGGCAGTAAAACATATGGTGGGAATTAAGATTTTCAGAGGGATAGAAAGGATGGCTTGTTTCTTTCACTGGCTTGTTTCTTTCACTGGCTAAAAGGTTATGACCCAGCATGCACCATATGACCTGTCAGAACCTACTGACCCACCAATTATCCTGTGGAAAATGGAACTCAGTAACTCTTCCTAATTTTCACCCAAATCTGTAGCTCCTGCTGTGTTCCCCATCTCTGTTAAAGGCATCAAATCTATCCAGCCTGCCAAACTAGAAATCCGGGGGGTGTCACTATTTCTTCTGCTGCTCTATGCAGCTGCTCTCCACCCTCACTTCTATTACTGGGTGTTTGTGAGAATGAAACATGTACCATGGCTGTAAGTGCCCAGCATAATGTCAGGCAGGCAGTGATCAGAAAAGGGACTTATTTCATTCTTTCATCTTGTGCAGTTTTTGCTTTATCCAACAGTTCCATCTCCAACAACAACAACAAAACCCCCAAAACAACCACAAAAACGTTTAAAGTAATGCCTTCTTATCAGTGATCTACAGCTTTCCACATGGTTTACCTAAGCTTCTGCCCTACTTATTAAACTGTATACCTGGAGGAACTGGTGTTTAGGACACTCACCTTTCACTAGGCAAGAATAATAGAGTTGTCCATGTGGAATATATTAATTGAAAAATACCCTAATCTTTTTACTTTATAAATAGAAAGGATGCTAATTTCTTCTCTTCTTACAGATCAGTATTGTTATTTTAAACTTTAGTTTGGAAGGAAAATTAGATGGAATGCTCTCAGAGAGATTTTAGAAGGGAGGTCATATGAAGGCAAAGGCAGAATGTCTAAATGGTGATGGGAAGTGAAATAAAAATCTACAACCATCACTTCCTGACCTAGTTATAAGTTATCAGTATCTCTTTGACCACAAAGCATATTTCAGGCCCATGACTTCCACTACCTTCTGTTGGTGGGTGCTCAGAGACTACAAATTCACTTTAATATGTATATTATCCTCAGCAAAACATAATAAAGAACATAATGGACTGCTTCTAAAAATAATATGCATTTCAAAACAAAATGTTATGAGGTTTCGATTATCTGCGATTTCAGATTATCTCTGCCACTGCTCTGGAGGGTTGCATTTTTTTTTGCAGCTTCCTAGCCCTTGAAAACATGCATTTAGTTATAAATATAGGTCCCTCTGGGGACTCTCCAAATGGGAAAGTTTCTGTTGTTTGTGAGTGAGAAATGCATGTATTTCCTTTGTCAAAAAGGAGAGCATTAATGCTTGACAATTTACAGATCATTTTAAAACGTGTTTCTACCCCAAACATTGACCAGTCAGCAAAAATATTTCTAGCACCTATTGGCAATAAGCATGAATCATTTCAAAAAGTTTAGTTCTTGACTACTGGCCTCAGAAATATTTTAAAGTCTTAAAAAATTAAAAGTATTTTTTTAAGTTAGAAAAGTAGTTAAAGTCTCTCTCTCATTCAATTTTCCTATAAAGTCCAACCTTTCTCCAGGCGCTACCATTGTTAACAATTTCTAAAAAATACTTTTTAAAAATAACGTATACAAATATATGTACATATATGTATATTTATCCCCTCTTTTTTACCTACATGAGAATATTATTCATATTGTCCTACATTATTTTTAACTTACTATATCTTAGAGATTGTTCCATAACAGGTCTATCTGCCTTTCTATCTCTATTTTTTAGCAATACAATAGTATTCCATTGAC